GTGATCGTCCTGAAAGCACACACATATGAGGAATATTGTACAGACTGAGCAGGTTGTATTTGTACATTAAGAATACATACACAGACACACAACCACAACAGCAACAGCAATGACAACGTTTAAAAGGCCATGAATTTGAAAGAGAGCAGGGTGAGGGATACATGGGAGGGTTGGAGGAAGAGGAGAGAAGAACAAAAGGATGTAATTATGATTTCAAAAGATATTATTTTCAAAAAGAATAATTGTAACATGAGGGGCCGGCTTGTTGGGGTTTCTGTCCCGCCGGGTACCCCAACAAGCCAGCAAGTCCCAAAGAGAAAAATCATACATAGGACTCCATAAGGTTATAAACTGATTGGCTCATTAGGTCAGGCTTCTTGTTAACTCTTATAACTTATATTAACCCATTATTCTCATCTATGTTAGCCATAATGGCTCCGTACCTTTCTCAGCTGGGCAAGTTACATGCTGCCTCTTCAGTGTTCTGCGCAGGAGTGCAGGAATGGCTTCCTGCTTCCCAGAATTCTCCTGTTCTCATTGCATCACCTCTACTTCCTGTCTGGTTTTCCCACCTATACTGCCTGCCTGGCCAATCAGCGTTTTATTAAAATATGATTGACAGAATACTGACAATTCTCCCGCATCAAATAATAACAGGGAGAAACAGATATTAATCTTGGCCAGGTTTCATATCATCCCAATGCCAAATATTTACTCATTTAATTTTCTTTTTCTTTTCCACAGTATTTCCAGTAAGCGATGCATCTACTTTCATTTTCAGCATAAACTAAACCTCTTTATTTTCCCTACACTTCCTCAGATTTGAACTACATTTCAGCTAAGTTCTTTGTCTTGTCTCTGAACCACCCACACTCTTACCCAATTTCGTGTTACAGGTCTTGTTTTGGGAGACTGGTCTCACCCTTCAATTTATCATTTAACTTCATGCATATCCACCTGACCGTCAAAATACATGGACATACACACATTCACACACACCCACTCACTCACACACACACACACACACACACTCTCACACACACACTCACTCATACTCACATATACTCACACACACTCACACACACATATATGTAATATGTATATATACAAATTACTGCTCAGCTATGATTATACTTTACAAAACATCATATCAAAGGATGCTCATTTTCTTCTTAATCATTTGCTACCAGGACAGTAAGATCATTTCTTAGGATTACAAGCAGGTTAGTGTCACACAGAAATTTTTCTTTGGAAATATGCCACAGAAATAGTCCAATGCTTCAGGAATTATCCTTACGGAAGGATTTAAAGTGACTCTTAATGATGTTGGTGGTTTCATTAAAAATTCATAACTTTTATTGGCCTTCACGGCTACGTGAATGAGAATTCTTTTTGCAGTAGCAAATTGCTGTGCAGAGAGAAAAGAAAACAAACAGAAAACAAGGATGCTAAAAATGATTGGAAATGATACCCAGATGATGCTCCTCATGTTTTTCTCAAATGGAAACATCCCTATATATTTCTTAAACACAAATGTTTTTATTGAATACTTTACAAAAATCTAAATAAGGATGGTAAGTATCCTGGGTCTTACTGTTAGAAATATTTCCTAACCGAGCCACTCCGCCAATGCAAAATAATCCCAATCAAACCAAACCAGATCAAATTAAAAGATATCCAGGTTTAATTAAACACCTGAGCTCCCAGGTGGTCCCGAAGGGACCCAGAAGCTGCCAATGGGATCACCAGAGAGGAAGAGGGAAAACCACTTCCTTTTGTACTGGGGAGCAATTTAAATAGCCTGTGGGAGTGGTGGTCTTGACAATTCCTGGGGAAGGGTCAAGATTTGGCAGGCTACCATGATCCTCCTGGGGAGGGGTCAAGGTATGAGGGGCACCAGGGACGGGCCTCTAAAGATGGAGGTCGAAAGCTGGGATTACGCTTACTTTATTTAACTGAAGGATGAGTTGGGGTTTCAGAGTGTCTTCTCATGCCTTGGAAGCTTTCTTGTAAAATAATTCATGTTTAGTTCAATGTCTTTAAAAAATAATGAATTCTTTGGGAATTCATTCAAGATATTCTAACTTTATTTACCCTCCCTTCAGCAACTCCTAGATTTACCTCCTCCCTACATATCCACCAAACTCGCGTTCATGCTCTCTCTCTCTTCTCTCTCTCTCTCTCTCTCTCTCTCTCTCTCTCTCCTCCCCAGCCTAGCAGTTATCAAATGCTAATAGCTCCTCAGCTAAAGGTAGGAATTTATGCCCACAATCTCCCTCTTTGCTAGGTTCAGTGGTTAGTTTGTCAACTTGACACGGGCTCATGATCTCAGTTGAGAAAATATGCCTCCATGAGCTTTATCTGTTGTTAAGTCTATGGGGGAATTTTCTTTATTAATGATTGAGGAAAGCCCAGTCCACTGTGGGTGGAGCCATTACTGGGTTTTATAGTCCTGGGTTTTATAGAAAATCTGCCTGAGCAAGTCATTGGGAGGCAGCAAGTTAGTAAGAGGCATTCCTCTTTGCTTTAGTTCCTCTCTCTAGGTTTCTGTCTGTTTGAGATACTGGACCTTTAAATGTGAGTTATCTCTCTCTATGCCCTCCACTACCTTACCCTCCCATTCCCCACCCTAGAAAATCAAGACTGTTTTATATTCATTAATGCCATTGCTATGGTGGAGAACAGAAGAAAATTTCAAAACTTAAAGTTTACAATTTCATTATATAGTCTGTTTCATTTTAGAAATTTGAAAGCTGCTTTAGTTCACAAATGTCAGCATTATTTTTTAAAAATGCGTTGGCGCGTCGCGATAAGCCTTCAGTGGCCCTCCAAGCTTTGATTGCAGCTCAGCCTGTCCCTACTTCACAGATAAGTGCTTTCAAGAACTGCTTCCGCTCACTAAGTTTTCAGTCTCTCCAGAATAGTAGGCATGTAAGAATCAAGGAACTAATGCTTGCTAGCTCTGATGCTTGCTCTGATCAGACATTTGGTTCCTGGCAAAGTTGGGCAAAGATGATTTGTGTGTGGTCTAGAAGTAAAGTGTGTGGTGTGGAATGATAAAACTGCAATCTGGATTGTCCTTTCCCTCTGGATTGCGAGTTATCAGTGTCTGAGCTGTCTGAGGCCTAAGCATGCTGTTTCTCAGTTCCTTTCTTTCTTTGTTTCCTTCTTTGTATTCTTGTTTCTTTAGACTGAAGCTTTCTTCCTGTTTAAATTTTCATTTAGTTATTTTTTTTATATTGTATGGGTATTTATGAGTGTATGAGTGTTTTACATGCGTGGACATCTGTGTACCACACACATGCTTGGTGCCTGAAGGAGATGGTGCTCCTCCTTGTGGGTGACCATGGGAATCGAACCTGAATCTTTTGCAACAAGAGTCCTTAACCACTGAGTTTGCTCTCCAGTCCAGTGTCCTGGCTCTTAAGCTCAGGGTCTGCTCAGGGGTTGAGTCCTCACTGCTCTTCTTGGAGGCCTTGAGCCTTGTAATAAGTTCTCCAGTTGGTAAGCCTCTTTGGGAAGCATGAGGATGATAGCCACCACTTCTTACACAGTCCTGAAACTCTCAGTACCTTACGGCTCTAAAAAAAAAAGCTGGTAAGCCCAAGGTATACATGCAAGGTGTGTCAGCAACAGTCAATTCCTTCCTTCATATCCTTCAAACCTTCTATATACATAATGTAGGCACTCACACACCCGTTAAGTGTTTGGAACATGGGGATAATTTGGGGTTTCCCCAATCTGTATGTCAGAAAGCAGCATTGAGTAGAAAGAAGGAGGGGCAAAGAGATAAAATGGCTTTTGATGTAGGTGACCTACAGACTTCTGCTAAAAGATACCACTTGCTCTAAGAACTTTGGAGGGATGAAAACTACTATGGCTATGTAGGAAAAAAGTGGTTTCCTGCTTCTCAGTTAAATAAAATACCTGAGGTGGGCACTTAAAGCCATTGTTTTTCTGTCCTGCTTTAGATTAATGCCTGCTCGGTCCAGCCTTTATCTCCACATCATTCTCTGTCTTCAGGATCATTTGTTTACAGCGTTAATTTATTATCCATTCCAGGGTCAAGGGCATCCCACCATTTCTCACCTAAGACCTGGGAACACGTTATCTTTACATCTAAAGCTTCAAACAGTGTGGCAGGAGGTCAGAACGTGTTTGGCATGACATTAAAGCAAAAGATTGTGAATTTCACTGACGTGGGCAAGATAACAGACAGAGCCTGAAGAAAGCGAAAGCCAGGCAAGGAATTCCTACCACCTATGTGTCTTGGATTTTCTCAGCCTCTTCCTTCTTTGGATTCAGTTCATCTTTTGATTTGATTTAGAATAGCTTCCTAAGGCACAACGCACACATTGCACAATCCGTTCACTTGAGGCCTGCGCTTCAGTGGCTCCCAGTTTCTTCAGAGTGGCACAGTGGTTATCACATTTGGTTTAAAAACAGTTTTATGAACTCAAAGAAATTTCACAACCATGTGTTCTCTGGGAGAATGTCATAAAAACTCAAAAAGGGGCAAATTAGAAGGGAAGAAATATCCCAAGTCCTGTGAGCTCCTGCCTCTGTATGGAGAGGTGTGGACTGGCAGGTGCCTCCAGATCCCACCCAGCTGGGCTACCTTCCCCAGTGGCCTGGCTGTCAATCACTCTTGGAAGCACTCCCCAACCCTGCCTAGTAACACTCCTTCCACTCCTCCTCTCGGCTGCCAGGAAATCCTGGAACCAACGTGGCCCCGGAGCTGCTTGTGGTTTTTATTAACTAGGGCTTGAGTTGAATTTTAAGCAAAGAAATAAAATGAGTAAAAGAAAATAACACCCCAGGGACCCGGTGTAAAGGGCAGGGTTATGTGATTCTGCTGTGGGCCAGAGACACACATTTTGTTTTAAATAAGTCATTTGGCCCTTTGGCCTTGTTCTAGCCGTGCTCGGGCACCTGAGTCCGGAGACGCTCTGCTAAATGACAAGTGACCCTCTGTCATGGGTTGAAAATTCGCACTAGAGTGGAATTTAAGGGGTGCCGCAACACAACTTCTGTAGAGTCCTGCCCCTTTTCCCCAAGTCTCCGCTCCAGCCTGTTGCTTTGCTGGTCGATCCAGGTCGGTTTTTATCACAGACTTCAGTGTGTCTCCCAAACTTCTGGGCTTGGGGTTCACTTCGGACTTAATCCCCGCCTCTTGCAGGCTCCTCTCAGGGGCTGAGTCTCAGCCTTTGTGACAGCAAGTTCCCGGGCCTGCAGCTGGGGACTGAGAGGAAGAATGAAGCCATCCTGGCTGCAATGTCGCAAAGTAACAGGCGCCGGGACGCTTGGGGCGCCCCTGCCAGGGTCGCCTTCAGCAAGAGGAGCCAGTGCAGCCCGAAGGGCTTTGGTGGCCGGTCTTGGGGCCCGGGGCTGCAGGGCTCTGGCCACCTGCAATGGTGGCGAGTACAAGACCCATTTCGCAGCCTCTGTGGCAGACCCCGAGAGGTTCTGGGGTAAAGCTGCTGAGCAGATCAGTTGGTACAAGCCCTGGACCAAAACGCTAGACAGCAGATATCCGCCTTCCACTAGTTGGTGAGTGACTCTTTAGTCAATTCCAAAATCTCCTAACTTCTTGGATGCCAAGGGCTGGAAGGTCTTGGATCAGGACTAGCTGGAGTTCTACCAGGAAAGAGAAATCAAAATTTAAGATGCCTTCATCTCTTTTCACTGTTGGTCGTTTCTATTCTCTTAGCTGTCCTACATTCTCCTTTTGAAGTACTTCGTTATCTAGAGCGATCCCAGTTTTGCATGGGCCTTTACTTGAGGTGGTAGCTCTGCTTGGCGGCAGTGGGGATGTTGAGAGACCAAAACAAAGACTTTCCAAAACAAAGGCTTGCTGCAAGACTGTGCCTACTGGAAGTGACACCATGTAAACAAATACAGAGCACGGACTAGGCTAGGGAATAAGTCCTAGGGGATTATGGACCTGCCAGTGGTGGGAGGAAGAGGACTGAAGAAAGTCTTCAGGAAAATGTTACTGAGCAGGGTTTGAAGGGATAGGATGTTACCTTCTCAAGGCTGACATGATCTAATTATCAAAGTCCAAACACTTAGGAAACCAGCTGGAAGAAGCTGACACTGTAATCCTGTGAGTTGGAGAAGTGAGAGAAAGAGGCTTGGGTAAGAAAAGACTTAAATAGTGGGCCCAATAGGTACCAGTAAGTCAGAAACAGAGGCCTGTTTTGTTTAAGACACTCAAGCAAGGATAGCTCGTGGCAAGGTAATGTTAGGAGTCATGATAGGAAGAAAGGTTTCCCCCTGAAGTTTCAGTTATAAAAACTTGCAAACCATATTTGTTTTATATTGCAATACACATATACACCGTAAAGGACGTTGTTATGCTATAATGAGTAAGGCCCACAGCTTGTGGAAAACCAAGTGGCGGTTTCTAAGTGTCTATCCCTTTAAGGATGTGGTTGCTGCCATCTGCTAACCATTAGGAAAGAATATATCTGTGAAATCTGGAAAAGCACTACTTGACAGACGAGGGCAATGCCCTGGTCCGGCTGACATTTGGCCTTTTGGTGGATGCCTTTCTTCTCAGAGCAGAAAAGCTGTAGGAAATTGGGTTGAGGAGGCTGTTCTGTGTCCTTGTCATGCCTCCTCTCCTCTTGTTTTTGTTTTGTGGGGGTGTTCCCAGGATGTTTCTTCCCAGTGTGAGTACCTTGCCCTCCAGTTCAACTTCGTTTTTCAGTAGTATTTGATTGACCCACATTTAATGATTGACCTGACATTCAGTACACAGCAATGGATAAAAAACAGTGATTGCTCTCGGGGACAGGCTGCCTGGGTTCGAGTTCTTCCCCTCTCAGCTCCTGGACTCTCGGTCAAGGGATGGCACCTCTTGGTGCATCATTTTCCTTTTCTTCCTCAAGATCAAATCATTAGTTTGAGGGTTGGCTGATTAAAGAACCAAGGCCAAGGGACCTAGTGGATTAGGCCCCATAATTGTGATTAGAGGAAAAACTATCTTTTCATTTTCTTATTATAATCATTTTGGGAATGGGAAGCGTTTCTAGTGTTCTTCGTATCACAACAAAGATTATCATCGGAGGTTGTTCTAAAAGCTCAATGTTCATATATCTGTCGTAAATACTGTTCTCTAATAATCTTATGTGGCTACCTTTACCACAAAACCAATATACAGAGATTTCAGTTAAGAAGTCACTGGGGCTGGTGAGATGGCTCAGCGGGTAAAGGCTCTAGATGCCTATACTGATGGTTTAGACTCAGTCCTGGGGACTCTTATGATAGAAGGGGAAAACTGACTGCCAAAAGCTTCCTCTGATATCTGTACCCATGCTATGACACTCACACACAAAAGAGACACATACAGAGAGATACACGGACACATGGACATATGTACACAGACATGCATATACACACACAGAAAGGCACACGCACACACATCACAGACACATACAAAGAGATGCACGCAATGTATATGCACACATACACACACAGAAACACACGGAGAGACACATACACACAGACATTCACATTCAGATATACATATACACAAACACACATACCACACAAATACACACACACACAGTAAATCAGTAAATGCAGTTAAAATAATTTTACGAAGAGACCACTGGGATACTGTAACTAAAAACTGAAGATAAGCAAATAAGTCTAGGGCAATAACAATGAGGGAAGAGACATTCCTGAGGGCTAGTGGGGTCAGCTAAGGCAGAAGAGCAAAGAAAGAGAAAGTTCTTGTGTATGTGCCCAAGGTCACTTAAGATGTCAGATCTCCTCTTAAGTAACTATTTTTCTTATTTTAAACTCCAGATTTTAGCCTAACTTTTAAAAAAAAGTTGTGCACAGAGTATACTGTTTGTTCTTTATTTTTATTAAAATTTTTTCTTTTTTTCATTTTACATACCAACCTCAGTTCCACCTCCCTCCCCTTCTCCTGCCGCTCCCCACATCCCCTCCTTTTTATTAACTCCTCAGAGTGGGTAGGGCCTTTCTTGGGGAGTGAACAAGGGCTGGTATACCAACTTGAAGTAGGACCAATGGCCCTCCCACTCCCGCACCAGTTTCAAGGCTGAGCAAGGTATCCCGTCATAGGGAATGGTCTCCAAAAAGCCAGTTCATGCACCTGGGCTAGGTCCAGCCACCTGCCACCCCCAACAACAGCTCAAGGTACATGATCTCTCACCCACATTCAGAGGGTCTTAGTTTGGTCCCAAGAAGGTTCCCCAGCTATCAGTCCATAGTCTGTGAGCTCCCACTAGCTTGGTTCAGTTGTCTCTGTGGTTTTCCCCATCATGCACTTGACCTTGCCCCTCTTATTTATCTGCTTTTAATGAGAACCTTTGACAAAGGTCCTTGTATGTAAATACTTTCAGTACACTGTAGACACCAGCATTTGCTAATGTTGCTCCTGAATTATTCATCTCTGTAATCTTAGAGTCACGCTTTCTTACCTCTTTCATGGCATTCTAGAAGATCAATATGAATAATAAAATTTTTATACTGAGTAAGCTCGGAGGTCTGATTCAGTCTTGCGAAGACATTTGGTGATCAGAGTAGAGTCGAGAAAGGGACAGTGGTGGGGCGCCAAAATTCACTTTCATTCAATAGATGACTTGCGCTTGAGTTACTGTCACTATCCCATATTGTGGTGACACATAATCCTTTTTGGTTAGTGATTTCCAACAATGCCAAACACAAGGAAAAGTGAATGTTCTATGCCCTCCTATATATCTCTGTGGTCTAGGGCACAGCCAGCAGAGACTTTTAAAGACGATAGTCAAATGGTAGTGTTCTTAGATGAGAAAAGTTTTATTGATGTCTTGGAATGACAAATGAATTGATGCGAGGCACTTTCAGCTAAGTTCATCAGCAGAACCGAGAGGGGTTGCTACAGGAACCTGCATTTCCCCCGTGGGAGTTGGCGAGATGGGCGGCCCGCTCTCTGATTCTTGTTGACTTCCTACAAGCCACGTGCATTCTCTTTCACTGCAAGGCCATCTCTTCATTTTCCTAATCTGCAGGTTTTCCTCAACATCTGCAGGCTTATCAAAGTCCTAACACATCTGGCATTGCAGACTAGTCTCTGAAATGGCACAAGGTCTCCAATATCTTACTTGCACAGAATTATGAACGTGGGGGCAAAGATCTTAAGGATCTTATGCAGACTTTGCAGCCTAAGCGAGTGGCCAAATCACTTCTCTAGCGTGGTACTCTGAGGTCTCTGAACAGAAAACACTCGCTGTAAGCTCGCAAAGCATCAACTCTCCTCAGGGTTTGGTCATCACTTCTTATTGACTCACACTTTCTGGGGAGTAAAGTCTCTATTTGAAATACTCATGGGAGAATTGCAGTGACAACTGGAACAAGTAAAAAGTCAGTCATTTCTTAATCTTGGAACACAGCAGTGGAAATTCTTGGTTATTATGCTTTTTTTTTTCCAAGGAAGAGCCTTTTTTTTTTTGCCTATCCTGAAATTAAAATTCAACTGTGTATCTCTCTGAAGAATTAGGTGGTGTGGAAGAATTGTCTGTATTCTGTCAATCATGTATTTTAATAAAACGCTGATTGGCCAGGCAGGAAGTATAGGTGGGTAAACCAGACAGGAATTAAGGTGATGCAATGAGAACAGGAGAATTCTGGGAGGCAGGAAGCTCCCTCTGCCACTCCTGCGCAGACCACCAAAGCAGCAACATGTAAGCTGACAGCTGAAAAAGGTACCAAGCCATATGACTAACATAGATGAGAATAATGGGTTAATATAAGAGTTAACAAGAAACCTGAGCTAATGGGCCAATCAGTTTATAATCTTATGGAGATCTCTGTGTGATTGATTTTCTTTGGGACTTACCGGCAATGGGGTGCCAGGCGGGACAGATATCCCTACAAGCTGGCCCCTCATGTTATAATTAGGAAATTCACTTTTCTTGTTATGAATTGTAATCTACTTCCTGGGCCGTCAATTGATTCCTTTCTATAGAAGCACCCCCAACATAATTTTATCTCAGTCTTATAGAAACAACATTCAGTATGAAGATTCTCAGTATCTAGGTGGTTGATGATGGTGGCTCAGTAGGTAAGAGCACCTGTCACCAAATGTGGCAGTCTGAGTTCAATCTCCAGGACCTATTTGGTGGGACCCTGCAAAGTCGTCCTCTGATCTCCACAGGTACATCTTAGCATGTTCTACACTCAAAAAAATATTTATAAAGATTCTCGGGATTTGAATCAAAGTCAAATATGTTTTTTATTATAAACTGAAAATGAAAAGGCTAAATCCATATGACTAGAAAAGTACTTAATCTAGATTAACATTCCTGTAGTGGAAACAGTGAGGACTGAAAAGGTACAAGATCTATTTCCTGCTCAATGTACAACTGTTGAGTCCTGCCAAGCCTTGAACAGAGTCAGAGGAATTATAGGCACTCATTAATCTCTCACTCACTATGTCTACACCACGTAGGCAATGATGGAAAGAAGGTGAAGGGATTCCAGATAAGGCATGAAGTACGCCATTACAAAACTGTACTGGCGAGCACTGGGTATGA